ACAGTACATTTTGATAAATAAAACACCCTTTAAGTTATTTATCAAGCAAAATGCCAACATTCTCGGGTTCAAGCTTCTGAAATGGGAAGATTTGCTGCTTTATTCCATTATTTCAATTAAATATCTTTGGACTGTTGGTTGGACAACATTTACACATTTAAGATTTCACCTTAGGCTCTGGAAAAGTGTTGAGGACATACGGAATTCACTTACTTTCTGACTTCTCTACTGATGAACAAAAGAACTAAAACAAATTCAGCATTTGCACCACAGTAGTCCTTCTATTCTGTTTCACAGCTTGGTGTTCAAACACCCACAGCTTTGGTTTCCGACTAATGAACAGTATTTCCTCCCAGCTTCTGTATTCAAGCATATAATATTAAAAGTTTTACCACAGCTTTCTCCTCTTCCTGTACTGGTAGAAAGAGAGAAGCGGTGGATTTGATGATGGACGTCTGAGCACAATAAAATGCGCTCGGCTGTCTCAAGCACAGCAACTTTGACCCGAACACCCACGCTCTATCCAGATGTACATCAGTGTTTATGTTTGCTTCAGTGCCCCTGCTAGGCCTAGGAGTAATTGTTCAAGGAAGTATTAAATTTGCGAACACATTAAGTAGCACATCCAGTTTCCTGCAATTTTACCAGTCCCTGAAAATACTGTTACACCGCAGAGCCACAGCGAAGCTTGCTAGTTAGCAAGAGGAAAAAGAAACAGGAGACCAAAAGCAGAGTCAGCTTGCCTCAAGCTAAACCAATCTCATGGGGAGACAGGCCAGTCTGGTATTAAAACAGACAAGTGAACATTTCGTTTGACACAAACCATCCCCAAAAAAATGTCTGGTGAGAACTGATGACATGGTTTGTGTACCAAAATATCAGTCTGAAACTGGCAATTTCACTCATCACCATAATTGGTCTCATTTGGATACCCTGGAAAAGCTGTACTTGAGAAGTTAGCAAAGGTCATTACAAAGAGAAAATGTGGCAATGCAAAGGGAGTGTAGAGCAGTCAGGTGTCCCCAAATCACTGCACTTTACATGGCTGTTTTGCAGAGCCTTCATTTGGGTGAAAGTAAAATTAAGAAAAATTTAAGCACTACACTAAGACAGATAAAAAATGTGGTCAGCATGTAACATTTGAAGCCTAAACAGACAGGAGAGACATTTTGTGAAGAAGCAGAGCATTATGAAGCATAAAGTCCCAACCTCACCTGAGCACTATGGGGGTACACACCCATAAATGTTCTCAGCACAAAAATAACAGGAAAATCAGAAAATATATACAGGGGGCAGAGTCTCTTCAGATAGAAAACCCACAACACACTTCTAATAACATGAAGGAATGAGTCAATTCAACAAGAAATGTGAAGCAGGCACTGTTGTACACACAAGAAAATAAAGGCAGAGATTGTGAAAAGCTTGATGTACTTCAACAGCGCAGGCTTTCCAAAGTTCACTGAGGAAGCTAGAACAAACGCAACTCTTGCAATTAAACAGTGAACAACAGATCTTTATCCTAACTGTGGTGCAGAGAGCATTATGAATTTCTCAAGTAGGAAAATTATTACACCACATAACACCTTTTTTTTTTTCATCAGGTACAGCTCAAGGACCCCATGGCTGAAGGTGTTATTAGCACCTGCCTTTCGTCACCAGTAGGTGGTCACTATAGTACAAAAAAAATGGAAATCAAGAGACTAGTATGAAAGAAATACATTCTTTCAATCATTCACACTTTCTCTCCAGGGCAATTATGAGTATTCTTTTTTCCCCATAGACTGGTTGCTTTTATGTTGGCAGGAATAGAGAAGTGATTCAGAGTGCCACTTCACTGAGGTGTCTCTTTCAACTAGGCTGCCTTTCAAAGAATTCAGTGAAATAACGAATATGTTTGAGTGGCACTATATGTTACACTGCTTAAAAAGCCTCTGCATCTGTAGTTATCTAAAGTAAAAACTAGTGGGCTTTTAGTATGGTTGCACACAAGAAATCCTAGCCAAAGCATAACAATCCTACACAATATGGCCAATGTTTTTTCAAGAGAAGTGAGGTGTTTAGTCAAAAAGCTGCCAAGACATCACTAAGACAGGAAGCAATTTGGGCGGTAAAGGAACTGATAGATGCAAAAGTTTGTTTTTACAGCTTCAAGAAAGAAAAAAGGGCAAAAATGTTTGCTCCTTCACTCACAGCAATCACTGTTCGTCTTATATTGCTAAGGGGGCTGCAGTGATGATAAGCAGTCCATTCTGTCATGAACATGGGGGAGGCTCGTTTAAAAATTAGGCCTGGCCTATCTTCACACCCAGCTAATGAGAAATGAAGTGAGATCAGATAAGAATTTGGAGAGGGACAGACCAACAGACAGACGAGGAAGCCCCCCTGCTCATGTCACCTCCGCCAGTCATGCCAGCACTTGTCAGGGCTCATTTCCCCCTCAGCTGCCTGGAGACCCCCTCTTGCCTTTCTACTGGAGCCAGAACGACCCCCCAAAACAGACAGAGGGACAATTCTTTGCAGAGACACACTCCAAACCAACTAAAAACCACAATGGTATGAGGTGTAAATTATTCCCCATAGCGACATTCTGACGTAACAACTGGAAAGCTTCATTACTTCATAAGTGAAATAACACACAGAAGAGTGAATGGCAAATAACTCTCAAAGCCAAGACAACCAGACTTTGCTTTTCTGAATTTGGAGATATTAAGGCTGGCTGATGTGCCTCATTATCCCTTATGACATCTTGTATTAGTCTCCTTCTTCCATGTTGGGAATCAAAAGCATCTATGCTCAATGACCTAATTAAATGGCCTTAAGGTAATGATTTTCCCTTTTCTATCATTCTGAGAAGACTTCACACATTTGGAATAAAGCATACACTGGCAGAGTACAGTGTAACACTACCTCTTGTGTGAATGCATCCTTGCAAGCCACAGTGTAAAACTGAGACATAAAATGGTTAAAGAGAACATCATTCTCCATATAAATGGATCAAATAGATGAATCCAAGAAGTATAGCAAGCTATTTTGGTATTGTGGTTCCTTCATGGCATCAGATCTGTGGTCTAACAGTTATATTTGACTTCTACACCATCCAGAAAACTTGCAAAATTGGACACAGTTTGAAAACTAATAATGGAGAAAGGAATTAGTAACGGCTCATGAAACACATTCCACAATGCAGCTCACGGTTTTTAAAATGTTGTTTTTCATGTCGTATTTGATTTCCTCCCTCAAAGATGACCTATTTTCTTTGCAGTAGATCTTGCATATTGAATTACAAGACTGATTGCTGTTAATGGGCTTAAGTCCTTATTTTTAGTTATCTTTTCCCCCAACACATCTAATTTTAAAGTCATCCATAAACCAAATGATGTATAGCAGAAAGTGACAAAATATCACAGGCACAGCACCATGGAGCCAGACTACATTAGAATAATCATGAACTGCTGTGCTGGTGACCTGCGGAGCAAAGAAAATCAAGCCACTTCAAACGATTGAATTAATGATCACAATACCCATATTGTAATGGTTTTTTTGGACAGAATTGTGTATGGAAAAAGGGGGACATTGGGAATTTCATCTGCAGAGCAAAAAAAGGCAGTCATCAGATGTCTTGCTGAGATGTTTGGATGTAGAGCTGGCACCCTGAGTAAGAGCAGTCTGTTCTCACATGGCCCGCCAAACACATGTCTGCAGCATCCAGGCAGGCCTGAGAGAGGCCAGCGAGCAGTGGCTTTAAAGAACTACTTCATACTTGGACCCCGTGAGGCTACTGATCAAACATGTCATACTCTGAGAGCTGATTGAGAGCAGGTAAGTAATGCTTTTGGAGGCAATGCAGGGGAAAGACAAAACTCTGACCATCTCTAGTTTGAAAAAAAAAAAACTTTCCAGATATTTTCATAGAACATGAACTTCCACCCACATTGGAAAGAGTGATTGTAGAGCTTTACAGTTCTCCAAAACATACATTTTTTAATTATTCTTTGGTTCAGTTTCCAAATTCTATAATCAATTTCAGCACATTCCCCTTTCTCCTTATTCTTGTGGTCCCTGTGATTTATAATTAGGGGACCTCCCACAAGAAGCCCTCGTAGCTTCTATTTCTGCATTCAGGCCAGGAGTCGCGGTAAGGCCTGCGTCTCCCTTCACCCCTCCCTCTCCCAAGGCCAAACCCTGGGCCAAGATCCCGTCTGCTAAGCCCTCTGTCTGGACTGCACTCTGTATCCAACTCCTTGATCCATGCAATACTCCAGCAGACAATTGTGAAATTCAATTTGCATGAAAGTCTATACATGTAAAAAGAGAAAAAAAAGCTTTCTGACTTCAGGAAATACTTGAATTATTTAAATAATTGAAGAGCTGTCTTTTCGTAAGTCCTGTCTCTTTAATAAGATCGCCAAAAACAACTTGAGAAACAATATGTTTTAATGACACAGGACTGCAGTCTCTGTCGCAGTGCTGTAATTTGTCCTAACTTTAATTCATCTTGTCGTCTATAGCCATTTTTTCTCACGCTCAACTAGCCTAATTAAGGTGCCTTTTGAGAGTGAATTGACATTTATTTCTTTGGATAAAGCCCTGAATTTGTCTCTGCCTGTGAATATGTGAAAACCCCCTTTGTGCCTGGGCTGACAGAGGACTTTACACTGCCTCTGTTACCCTGGAAACCTTTTGAGAGGTGAAGGGGAGGACAGCCAAAGAGGAGATCATCTTGGCCTAAAATCGCAGGTAAATCCTCACTTAGGCAGTCCAAATTAAACAGCTTTACTTTTAAAAAATAACTTTTCATAGAGGAATGAAAGGAATCAGCAAAGTCTGACAAATTTCTCCTCTATTTATTTAATAAATTTCCATTTGTTAAGCACTTCACCATTGCCCCCAAGTTGAGTTCAGACTCTCACATGAACTCAGCGTTCAAGTATGGGAGTTTGTTTACAAAATCAATCAATTTACAAATTTTAATGAAATAAATCTGCAAAAAAATGTCCTACCTCAAGAATGCAGGTCCCTGGAGCTGTGTTCTCCTTGATGGACACATTGTAGAAGTTTCTCTCAAAGACAGGCTCATTGTCATTTACATCCTGAAGAACAATGTTTACCACAGCAGTGGATGACAGGGGTGGTTTCCCTCCATCTGTGGCCACCACAGTTATACTTGGATTGGGGTTCTTTTCATAATCCAGCTGGGACAGAGTGGTGATAATCCCTGTAACTGAGTCTATACTGAACCAGTTGGAGTAAGCACCTTGGTCTTGCAGGATGCTGTAGTTAATGTCCCCATTGGGCCCCTGGTCTTTGTCTCTAGCTGTCACCTGTAACACAAAGCTCCCTGGAAACACCACTTCAGGGATCACCTGCCTGTACACTGGCTGGTCAAACAGAGGAGGGTTGTCATTGATGTCAATCACTTGGATGATAAAGGAGGACTCGGCCCTGAGAGGAGGAGTGCCCGAGTCTGTTGCCATCACCCTCAGCTCATAGGTGTCTCTCTCCTCCCGGTCCAGAATCTGGTCTACACAGATCAGATAGATGATGCTATCCTTAGTGGTCAGGGCAAACTTTCCATCTCCTCCCTCGAGCGACACATTGACATTGGCATACTCTCCATAGTCTGGGTCAGTGACTGAGATCCTGGCTACATACTGGCCTGGCTGCGCACCCTCTGAGATTCTGGGAGATCCGTCCTCGCTGAGAAAAATAATGGTCATGGTGGGCTGGTTTTCGTTGTAGTCTCTGACGTGGATGGTGACAAAGGCATTGGTCACCTCCGGATGGGTTGCGTTGTCTTGTGCCTGGACCACCAGCTCATGGACTCTCCTCATCTCAAAGTCCAGTGGCTTGTTGAGAGTGATGATGCCGCTGCGAGAGTCAATGACAAAGTAGCGATCTGGGTCGCTTTGTCTCCTGTTGATTTCATACACCACCATCCCGTTGTCTCCTTCATCAGCATCTGTGGCAAACACCTGCAGGATACTGCTTCCTGGCTGGAGGTTCTCTGATATTATAGCATGGTAGCGACTCTGGTTGAAAATGGGAGCGTTGTCATTAATGTCCTGTACAGTAATATCTAATGTCATCTGATCAGTCCTTTTGGGGGAACCACCATCAAAGGCTTCCAGAGATAATGTGTAGGTGGATCGTTTTTCTCTGTCTAGGATGGCATTGACTACCAAGTCCAGATAAAGAACCTCATTGCTTCCCCTCCTGGTCTCCAAGGTGAATGCCTGGCCAACATTTCCATCCTTGATAAGGTAACCCTGTGTTGCAAGCTGGCCTTTATCAGCATCAAAAGCTGGCTCAAGAGGGAACTTGGTGCCGATAGCTGTCTGCTCCGGGATTTTAAATGTGGCATGTTTTCTAGGGAACGTCGGGGCATGATCATTTATGTCATTCACCTTGATGGTCACCTCCACAGTCACACCTGTCATGGTGACTGCTATGAAATTGTATCTATCTCTCAGTTCCCTGTCCAGAACTTTGGCGGTTTTAATAATGCCTGTGCTCTCATCTATGTCCAAATCACTACCCACACCTGTGCCCTCATGGTCAGAGATGAAGTACAGGGATGCTGTGATGCCAGGAGGAAGTCCTGCACTTATGTCCCCTACAATTGTGCCTGCTGGCTGTTCCTCATCTAGCTGTAGCTCAAGGGTCCCCAGGACCACTGGTGAATGGACTGTTACAAGCTCCAAGGCCACATACATCATTAGCACTATCCTTCTGTTCCACCAACCCTCATGGTGCGAAGGGTCCATTATAGACTTCCCAAAACCCTTGGCAGCTGTCTTCATTTTGGCTCCTTCTTTTTAAACCTGGAGACACACAAAGAGGAAAAGCTTAGCAATGTCTAAACCTGACAACAGCAGAAACTAAGAAAAGATGTATTATTTCTGCATTGAAATACAGAGTAAGTTAGTTTAAGAAAAATAAGTATACGCCTTAAACACTTCCCCATATGTTTTATGGGCTCTGTTCCCAACCACAGCACATACAATACACCCTGCACATAACATTTTCCTACACTTCTTCGTTCACCTAATAAGTCAACACCTTGTTCCCCCTACATACCAGAAAGCTCTCTATTGCTAAAGAAACATCAAAGCCACAGGCCGCATCATACTACCTCAGACAGGAAGTCGTTTGCTGTGGCTATTCAACTTGAATTAAAAGGATGGAGGAATTGCTACCCAGTGTGTTCACCATAGCAGCACTACGCTCTCGTCAAAGTCCTGGATTTAATATTTATGTGTGCTACCACATTTAGCTCTCATAAAGTGAGCAGTTTGGAAAAACTCATCTGAGAACCATTTAAAATATATAACTCTCCCCATGCAAACACATCTATCTTTCAGTACTTCAGAGAATCAAATTCAGGAATCAAGAGTTAAATCAAGAGGGTATTAAAATATTGATATTTAAAAGTAGAATCCCTTGCATAAAGAATCGGCCAACTCTGGCAGTGGACCCACACCACTGCATTGCATCTTTAATTGAGACTGAAAGACACATTGAAGCAATGTGGAAATTATTCAACAAGACTGTCACCATCTGTAGAATAATCCAAAACCACCAAATGTCTGACACACAGAAAATTATTGTGTCTTTTTCATTAAATAAAGAGAGCAGCTTCCAATTGTCTGTGGTTCTGTCTAAACTTGTGTAATTCATAACTACTTTGACTTGTCTGAAAAGTAAATCTAGCTTTAATTCTGAGGAAATACATACATAAGCATATTATACTGTATTAAATTTTGAGGAATTTGGTGTCTATTGAAAGCTCTTCAAGGCTCCCCCCAGTGGTTTAACTGATACATGCAGGGAAACATTCACAAAACATCTGTGTATCTGTGTGTGTGTGTGTGTGTGTGTGTGTGTGTGTGCACGCGCACTAAATGCCTCCCATGTGTCCTGAAACGTGGTGTGGTGATCCGTTTCGGACAAAGTGGTGACAGTGTGTTTGAGTGACAGAGCAGTACAGCAGAGTTGAAGGGCTCCATGCAGTCTACCTCTCTCCCTTTTTCTGGCTCTGCAGCATTGTAATTGAGGGCTGCTGGAAGTTGGCCATAAGCACACAAGATCGTGGGGCTAATTTCAGTCTGCCGTGATTCGGGGCCCACAACACCGAAGATGCTAACTTTAATGTCAATAATTGGTTTGAATTCATTTCAGTGTGAGTAGTGAGAAACCACAGGGCATTACTTGTTGTGAAATTTTACATTAAATCAGTGCTGTTAACACATTTCTAGTTTATTTAAATGAACAGTTTAGGAATAAAAGTGATCTCTGGATCAATTTGCTGCATTCACTTCTAATTTTTACGTTTAACAAGGATTATAAAAATTGCAAATGACAGGACCTTAAAAGCAAGCATTACAAATTCACCATTACATACTTTGGGTTGCTTTGTGAGTGCTGTTCTTGGCTAAAACATAAGCACATCCACAACAGCCTGAAAGTCTTGACAGCACTTGAACTTTAAAGTCTCAGTATTGATTTACTTTACTGCAACACTGGGGATGCACTTTTACAAAGCTTTCTCCAAAGCACAAACGATAGCTTTTCAAGGCCAGAATCTTTGTCCAAATGCCACAACTGAAATAATGCACTCTCTGGTTGAGCTACAGTGGAGGACCTCTGCAGAGCAGAGCAGCCTAATGGATATAGCAGACACAGTCGGGTAGGCTAATTGCACAATACCAGGCTAAGAGGGACATATGGTTTTAAAAGATTCAGTAAGTTAAAAAGAAATTTCTGCACTTTAAAGCTAAAAAGTTGACCAAATATATGACAAAAACTGTCACCCAACCACCCAGGCCTCCATTACTGAGAGTTTCATGTTTGAAAGTTAGTGGCAAGTTAGCAGTCAGGATATAAAAGGTAACAACCTATTCATGCATAGGGTTTCAGGGAAAGCAGTCCGGAAAAAAATAATTCAAAATAGCTGCTGATGGTAAAAAGCTGTTGCATTTAGTAAGCCAATCCCATTGTGGCTTGGATTCAGATGTTTTCCTTGCATCATTGTCCTAGATCATGGAGAGTCCCTCCTGCTGTTAGTTAAAGAACAGTGAAGAGTTTTGTTGAGATGATGCAACTGCTGAAGTATTAACCCCCATGTACCTGCAGCAACGTTTTTAAAATATTTTATTTGCACATTGCAATAGCTTCATTGAGATGCACATGTGTGTAACATGGCATGTACATCTCATTGTTAGCAATAACTATAGCATTGACCCACTTTCTTTTGAATCCTCTAAACCACGTCAACCAACCAAATCCAAGGTTTCTAGGATTTACATTCAGAATGAAACCTCTGTTTGAATACAGTCAGTATCATTCTGGGCACTTTGCTAGCATGACTGGAATCAGCATCAAAATCCCTGGCAGCAGTGAATGCTGGGCCAATCAGGACTGCATTTCTACCTCTCCACTGTGGTCCATATTACATTTGGCACAACGTGTCAGATATTCATTTTTCATGATGCTGAAAATTATTTTGCTTATTTATTTTTCATTTTTCAAATCTGAGGAGTACTTTTTGTCTTTCTTCCACTACAAGATCAAGACAAGCAGGCCTTTGGTTTGGCAAAACCTAAAATAGACAATACATCTGAACAAACACTGCTGCCTTCCTCCATGAGCCAATAACCACATTACACAAAAGAATGCCAAACCTCTCATGAAAAGTTAAGATGATATTTAACCATGTAGTAAAAGATACTGTTAAACATCATTGTTAATACACTGGATTTGCCACAGATCAAACTGGCCAAGTCGTATCATTTCATCTGTGAAGACATATCCTGGGGTTATTGAATAATCACTGAATACTTATCTTAAGCTAATATCTTAAACTACAATCATACACAATATTTGAGATAGTCTCTTGTGAATTAAACAAGATGTTTCTGATCTAACCAGAATATCTAATCTAAATGGATGCAACCCAAATACTGATTAAAATCTATCACAATTCATCAAAAGCATGATTCCAAACACAGCACTTCAGCTGCTATGTTTTAATTAACACAACCAAAACCATTTTCATCACCAGGCCAAGAGGGACAACTGTAGTGACAGACTATGTGAAACGAGCTTCTAATTCCATGTCATGATTCCAGTTAACTCAAAGAAAACTTTTGAGGTTTCGAGAACATGCCAGGCTGCCTGAGGCTCAATGGAGCCATAATGAAAACCACAGACAGAACTGCAGATTGACTGGACATGAGGATGACAGGCTTAGCACAAAGCAAATTAAAAAGCCCTGAATGTTTGCCAGGCTATTGCTTCTCACAAGTGCAGCCTTTCTGTGCCCCGCATTAGCCTTTGAAACGTCAGTCCCTCGGCATGAAAAAAGGCCAGGGAAAGCCATCACAAGCCTCAAATACACATGCACTTCCTGGCCATAACAAGCATGGTATTTGGAAAACACGCGGCTACTTTTTAAATGATGAACTGAAGGTTCTGAGGGTCCGTGACAAAAAGGATGATCTCTTTCCCACAGCAAGAGCAGCATGAGTTGGTTCAGCTGTTTGTGTAAGATGTTCCGGATAAAAAAAACACACACCTTATGTCTTTGAAGATGACACCATCTGATATTGCGGTGGTGGTACTAGTGGTTGCATCATTAAAAACACATGTGCATCGAGTTACAGTAGCAGGGGTGCAAGGAGAGTTTGGACATGATTACTAAAACTAAGGTCAAAGTTCACCTAATACGTGGACAGGCACATAAATATTTCTTAACAGGTGGGATTTAAAACATTTTAGGGTTTTTTGCTTTCAGCATTAATGTAGATACTTTATTCTAGATGACAGAGTCTGGTCACTAATGAGAAAAACTCCAGAGGTGACAGCCTTCTGGGACGACATCCTCAAACGCCATGGTTGATGTATACTTGACTTATATACTGATGACGACACTGCAAGAAGATGAGTAAAAACCGCAGTGACTGCAGCCAGGCAATTTTCAGAAATGTGAGGCAGCAAGAAACTTTCTGGGTGGTGTTGGTGTGGCCGTCCTGGGAGAAACATATCTTGTGTTTTTCATTCCTTTTTAGGAGTGTGGAACACTAGCTTCATCAATAGCATATGCAAGCTACAAAGACAAGACTAGTGAAATGATTACTTCATGCACTGCACCAAGGGTTTATGACATAATCCTTGGATTGTAATAAAAGCTGTGGAGGTCCAAATTTTGGTGGTTTTATCCATCAGTGCCGCATTTTGTTTGTTTTCTCTGAGTTTTAATTTACAACCCAACCCAGTCTTAAAAGTGGCACACATTAGAATAATGCTCCAAACACATTCATCTACAGATAGAATGATGGCCATTAAGACAAAAGTTAAAAAATGCCCCAAAACTGAGAATATGGATAGATACACGTAGACATGGGTGGATGGATGAAAAGCACTGATAGGTAAATTTTAAAAAAAAAAAATTGTATGAATACTGTTAGGGTCTGGTCAGTTACTCTTGTGTTGTTATAATAGGTATTCAATGACTGGAAGCAACAATGAAACTGGGCATTTCTTAACTTTACAGTTATAGATGTTGCATTCAAATTAAACCAAAAGCAGGACTCCGCCGTCCTCCTCAAACTGATGGGCTGGTGGGGAGTAAAAAAGAGAGAGGAGGAGCCTGCACTCCTTGTGTGAAGTCAAAAAAAGGCTGCATAATTACGCAGCTGCACCATGGCAACCATCACACTCACAGCTAAAGTGCACGGTGATGGAACCCAGTGGGGACTTAATTAATTTATTAATTGAGGGAAAGGAACACCTATTCACGGTCAATGAACACAAGTCTGCCAGCACAATAACCGTGTAGACATGTGGGTAATCGTTTGGTATGTGTTCCACTGAAGGAAGAGGGAGGCACAAAGGCTCAGCGGCAGCACTCGCAGGACAATGAAATAACTCCATAGGTTGACCAATTTGGGAGGAATGTCTCAGAGGAGTTTAAAAAAAGTGCAACCTGACGTGCTGTTAAAATATTTGGCTGCGCTTCAAAGTATGCGCGCAGGCTGGGCTTGTACTGTGCAGTGACAAAAATCAATGCAGAGTCGTGTTTCATGAACAGTAAAAAAAAAAAAAAAAAAAACACGTCGTGCCAGAACTTAAATATCTTTTATGAATAGTTTTGCACGGAAAATATTAAGAACGAACGCTTTGAAGTAACACACCATACGGTATGATACTATGATATTGCAAAGATAGTCTTCTATAAGAGCATTTATTTGGGTCTGTTTCTTTAATTCAACTCTGCAAAGAAAATTGAAGTAAGTGGCTCTTTAAAGTAGCTATATACGCCAGGTTGCAACATTGAATACAAAAGGACTGTATGTCCAATACCGCTACATAAAGGTTTGAGCACGAAAGAGCTGGAAAACGGTCTGCAAAAGTAGCCAGCGTCGTAAGTCATGTATGAGTTTTACATAAGCGTCCACTAGAAAGTATCCACTGCTGGCAGGGGATCAGCGAGTGAGTTGTAAAGTGTGGTAAACACCAAACAGGAGAAAGAAAAAGTGTTATTATGGATGAACTGAGCTGATGGACAACTTCATCGCCTCAGGTTACTTATGGAGTTAGGAGATCTGTGACATGCTGTGATGGATACTCACATTCATCTGTTGCTCTGCTGTGTTTGAGAATAGACAAGCCGAGTTTCAGGGTATCCAGATTCTTCTCAGTACTCCCTTATGAAGTCCAAAGTGAAAGTTATATCCATCTCAGGACCTGTATCCTTTGCCAGTGACTGTAGAGATTCCTCCTCGTTACACACAATTAGTTTCTTTGCTAAATCCCTATTTAGTTCTTTGCGAGGTCTTCCCAGACGAAAAGACGAAAAGTCAAACTTTCCTGTCGTCCTCTTCTAGTAGACGTTATCAACTTGACGGTATCCACTGTCTGTCTGGTCGCAGGCACACTGCTGCAGCACGCCGACTGAAACCAAACAGTGCAGGGCAGAGCGGTGGACGTCCCTCTCCAAATTTAATTTATGCAACACGTGACGAAGTGCAACCTCCTGCTCTTCTCTTCTTCAGTGCTGCTGCTGCTGCTGTGGCTGCCTCAAGGAGCCACACCGACTGCAGAGAGGCAGGCCAGGTTATTGCTGAACTTTGGTGCCACCATCCTATGCAAAAGGGAAGTGTAAATCAGTAACATTACATGCAATGTTAAATAGCTGCTACATGGGTTTAAATAATCTGGAATGATGACATAAAGTTTGAAAAGCCTCAAATTTGTCCAAAAGTTTGGATAGCATAAGTGTGCTGTTGCAATATGCATACAGTGTGGCAGCTCTGAAATGTTTAGCATCACATACAGTATTTTTATCTGGGAAAACAGTTACAATATGTACATTTTTGTTTTTAAAATGATATTTTCTTTTGTATGGTGGCACTGAGCTTCAACAAATCGACATTCCACAATACACAACATTTCACAAACCACCAGATCATCGTTATGTGTTGTGAAATGTCGTTGAACTTTATGAAATGTCATGTTTTCTGAAATGTCCTTGTGTTTTGACCCTCAGAGCCATCATACTGTTGGAATAACTAAGAATACAGCAACATATAGACTCATTTTGACATTATGAGATTGAAGATGAATTTCAAAATCACAATTTGTCACTGTTAAGGATAACTTGCACTAGATATAGATGAAAATCATAGTGAAAATCTTCAAAGATATACATTTATCATATTCAGTTGCCTGGTACCATAGCGTAGCTCACCTTAAATCCACCTACACCTTGACAAAACAACTCAAGCATCATAAGGAAGTCTAGCTATCACACAGACAGCTTTTTTCCTTCAGATGTTGGAAGTCAAGAAACCTCCTGTGGGTATTTTTCATTTAAGTCTAGAGAAGAAACAATGCCCTTAACGTTTCCTCACATCTTGTGACTCTTAAAAGAAGCATAGCCTACATCTCCAGTCATCTCCCGAGAGGAGCTCTGCTTTTATATCTAATAGTGCTGGAGCCATAACGCTTCTTCACTTTATTGTCAATCACTGAAAGCTCTGAAAGTTATTAAAGCCTTGTCACTTTGCATTTAGAAGTTATAAACAAAAGAACAACAGAGGGGCCCTGCTGTGTCAACAATCCTATTTATTGTGGAGAAACAGTTGACATAAGTTGGATGCATGCATGCAACTGATCATCTTGCTTTCATTCACTGTAATGATTAATTGATCTTTGTTGTTATCATCATTAAAGATACATATTTTCTAAACTCATGCACCCTTTGCAACACAAAATAAGGTCATATGATTTATGATAAAATCATATTAGCCAAATACAGTGAAAGTATTTAGTAGTCAGTATAAATATACTGACATAGCTGTATCGTTCTGTTTGTGCTGATTAAGAAAAATAAAACTTCTGGGGGAAAAAAAAGGTTTGGTCAGTGTCATCCCTGCCACAGTTCAACAATTTTTGCTGGCTAAACCATTTTTCCTCCAAGCAACCTAGTTATGTCTCCTCACTCTCACTCTAAACTGCAATATCACCAAGTGGAATGACTTTCAGTGCTGGCAGCTACTCATTATTACTGTGACAGCAGAGCAGAGGAGGCAAACTCACACATACACGCCAATTCACACATACATTCACGTAGACACACACACAATCACAAAGTCAGATGACAGTCTTTTTTTTTTTTTGCTAAGTCAGAATAGCCTACAGCTTTACGTTTGCAGGGACAATCATGCATATTATCTACACTATCTGTCCTTTATATGTTTTAACGTCATTTATTCTAGCGTGACGGGAAAGCAGATTAAAATAACATTGTGCTTGGTTATGTTTTTGTGCATGAGCTAGTTGAGATTTAGAGTGCAAAGAAACAAAAAGTTCATAAATAGCAAGTTGTACACAAAAATCATGTTTACAGATTGCATGAAATGAGGTATGAAGACACAGATATAGAGTCATAAAAGGTGATATAAATGTCAGTGAACTAAGATGTAAAGGGAAGTTACAAAGACAACACAGGACATTGTTTTCATTTCTTTTCTTAGATAACATGTAATGCTGTTTGATATTATATGCTTAAGTTATGACTCTCTGTGATCTGTAACTGTGTTTGTTAAGCAGAAAAACGGATATATTCCTTGTCTTATCCTGATGTATTTTATTACAAATACTATTTGTTTTTTGTTTGTTTGTTTGTTTGTTTGTGCATGTAAATAGAAATGCTATAAACGCTGCCTGTTGACAAGACAATGGATTGTCAAATATCCTGTCGACAGCACACTGATCAGACAAAAAATTCACCCGACGGAATTGTCGACTCTGACTTTGATAAATGATGAAAGATGAAAAGATTTACTGAAACTAAATGTAAAAATGTCAACCTGATGCATTTGTTTATGTTTTTAAACAACAACAAGCAGATTAGGTATTGTACTGTGAATAAATCGCATTAAAACATCAGAGGAGCATCTGTTACTCATTTGACATCAGCACTAAAGTTCCATACAAAAGTACAACTTTGGTTTCCAGCCCTGACTTTGCACTCTACATTCTAAGACTAAATCTGAATTTATTTTACCCAAGGTCCCTTCACACTTTCGATGAATTTTTCATATCTTTTTCCCCATGCATAAGACTGAGTTCAATGCCTCATCCTCACTGGTTGAGAGCATCTTGACTGCTCCTGTGAGTCACAGGAGACCCTGCATAAAAAAGCAAGGTGCTGTAGTGGTGGATAAATCTGCAATTTTACTTTGAGGTTATATGCTGTCCACATCACAAGGTTGTGGTCTTAGTAATTTTTCTGTGATGGCTATTTTAGTGACATTTGACCATGGATTAGAGGGGAAACCACAGAGCTTGGCTCCTTTAGCTGTGCTGAAAGTCCATGGAAGAAATAATAAATAGATTGAGTTTAATCAAGATTAAAGTTAAATGTGTGACAGGCTGCTTTACCAGAAGAATTAATTTCACCCAGAACAAAAGTGCATTCAACCTGATACACACGATGTAATGAAATGAGATAAAGTAAGTAATTAATGAGCTGCCCATGCAATAGTGGGAAGCCGAAAAAGATTCAGCTGTTCCTACATCTTCCTACTTAGTGTTGCGAGGTAGTAGATACTAATTATGATCCTCTTAAGATCTTTTTCCTGTCATTAAATTTGTACAGCAGTTGACCCTCCCATCACTGAAGTCTGTGTTGTGTTTGTTACACTCACAAGGTTTTGATTGTTTGCATTTGCAAGTGTGCCTTAGGAAACAAAATAACCTTTTTAGTTTAGTTTTTTTTTTTTGCTTCTTAGAGCATGTATGAATATGAATCTGACTTTTATCAAGACTTGGAAACCAAAATTACAGAAACAGGGCATGATCTCATCTTGTGCTGATTCACAACATACAGTGGAAATATTTGGTTTCAGTTTATCATCGTTTATCAAGACAAGAAAAAGAATAACAAAGATGATTACACTTAAGCACAACTTGACCAAACATACTCCTCTGTGTCCAGTTATTTATTTATTTTTACCACTTTTTCTTATCTTATACTGATATTAAACTGTAAAAAACATGACTTGATGCATGACTTGTTACTTTAACCAAAGAAGCATGCATTTCGTTTCTTAATATATTAACAGTTGTTCATTGTGTCAGAGTGCTGGATGAATTTGTGTTTCTTAAATGTAACTTTTCTGTCAGCCAGACCTCAGTGCATATATTGATTACATCTTGCTGCTCTACTACAATTTATCTGAATCGAAACACAATGAATGGTATAAGTTGTAGGCTTTAAGTAGCTGTGTTTAGACCTCTAAGGTGGGCTTTGTAGAATATTTGATGGGGACACTGGAGTTGTGTTTTTGGGGGCTGGGCATGCTTGCACAGAAGTCTAATGTGGACTTTTATTGAGACAAAACATTAACCAGAAGCACCAGTGGATGATGTCCCCCAGGTTGCTGTGTATTTTAGGAAATATGAGCCTTGGTTTATTGAAGTTTACTTTTAAAAGGATGTACTTCACATACTTGATGAATGAGAAGACCTGAGATCAGTTCTTCATCACATTTAAGAGTCTTTTCAGTTCCACTGTATTAAAGCACACTTGCATGTCCAGTATGTGTACGTGTTGTATATGTCTACATACTCTGCATAGACCGATCCTTTCCAAAGGATATTAGATATTAAGTGCACAGGTGGTTTTCATTTGGTTAAGAAAAAATCTAGGAGTACTAGCTCTTTATCATCTTCTGGTTAATCATGATGTAAAAGATCTTTTATAGGTTTCTGTTTAGTGTTACCACTCCTTCCTGACTCCAAAAAGTGCAGCAATAAAGCTTTCATGTAAGGGGGGTTGGGGGTCTAAATTATTTGTGATACCCTACCCTGAACCCTAAAATCAAGGGCCAAAGACTCATTATATATCAAACAATATGATATTCATGATCTAAATTTGCTGCTGGATGAAAAACAGTCAGTCTTCAGTCTACCATGGTGGTATGTAGTAAGTTAGTGCAGATTATGATGATAGTCCTTTTTTGCACTGAGGGACACATAAGAGGCCAGACCAAGTAAATTAACAGTCTAATAAACTACATGTTTGGTTTTCTTTACCCCATATCCAATATCTATTTCATATTGCCTACAGATGTTGTTTGGTCAAACTTCTTTGTGACACCAGCCTGAAGACTTTACTATTTTCTGTCTGAACAACCAGGAAAAGGGCATATCTGTTCCGTTTACTCTCACGACTGTTCACTCGTGGCACTCTTTTGATTAGAAACTGTGGTGTCATTGTCCACTCTGTACCAGAAGACAAAGGGTAGCAATTGTTTCTTCATTGCAAAACAGAAGGTTTAACACCTGCACAGTGGTCCACCACAGAATCTCACCCAAGAGGCAAAGCATGACTCTGGGAGGACTGTGCTATCCCTCGGCAGTTAGTACTCA